TCTCCACCAACCTCGTAAACCTCTGTCTGCGCCAGCAGCCCGTGGTTCTTCACGAACGCCGGGACCTCGGGCGGCCGCTGCGTCTCGTAATAAACCGTGCCGTGGATCTCCATGTATTTGTTGAGGATGGCCAGGAACTTCTCCTTGCCCTGTGCAGGAAGGCAGAGGTGTGAACTGCACCGGAAGATAGAGCTGACCCCTTAATGGTTATAGGGGGAGATTTAACTCTCAAACCACTGTCCCGGAGCACCCACCATGCTTCAGCCCAACCCACAGCAGTGCAAAACCTGCACCCTCCCCTCTGCATCCCTTGGAGACGCATTCTACACCACCCCAGGCTCCCAGCGAGCCTGGACAGCTGCAGGATCCAGCACCCTGAGCATCAGCACCTCGAGCCCCTGCCACCTCCACTGGCAACTTCCACTCTGGAGCTCCTGAATTAAAGGTTTCTGGGGATTCAGGGAGAAGTTTGCAAAGACCAGAGCTTGCTAACAGCCACTTATTCCAAGTAACAGGTCCCCAGGATTTTCTCACTCAGGTTTAATCCTGTTTTACTACCTGGAAAAATCAAGGGGGTCATCATTTTTCTTCTTCCGGAGGCTTTCCTCCTTTTGCTCTCCAAAGCAACCTTCCATTTTAAGAATTTCCCTATTGCAGATTTTTTTTGCCTGGAAAAAACCACACAGGGACCATCCTTTGGATGCTGTATTTTCAGCTTGTTCCAGTGTTGCAATAGACCCCAAAAGAGCAGAGACCGGGTGGGAATAAGGAGGTATAAACTCCGTACATTGTCTCAAAGCCTCTCTGAACACTGTATTTTTGCCCTCAGCCACACATCTCTGGACTTTACAGCTAAAAACAAGGCTTTTGGTGGGATGAGGCTGCAGGGTGAATGCAAAGGACTTGGCGCGATGGAAGGGAAACACGGCTTATAGTGCCTGGGTAGTGCCAGGCATCACCAAGCATCATCGCGGGGGGACTGATCCCCAAAGCCCCCTGTGTGGTGGGGGGTTGGCATGGGAGACCCCCTCCGCCACTCCATCCAAGCACCACGAGCTGCTTTGACCCCTGGAAGTTGGGCAGCAGCCTGATGAAAACAGCTTTTCCCAGCTTATTAAAACTTCGGCTCCTGTTGCAAGCTGGAGGCGAGAAGTTCCGAGGGGTAGGAAATGAGAAATCAGGGGAAGGCAGGCTTAATGAAATGTTTCTAAATGTCAAAAAGATCCTGCTCTGCAGGCTGTGCTTGGTCCAAGGCTTGTAAATAAGCCCCCAGCCCCAGAAGATGGAGGTGCTCTTTTCCTTCCCAGACCTCAAAATCACTCAAAATAAGGGAAAGCTCCTCTTCCCCCTTATTTTATTACATGGGGTGGCACAAGACCTGAAGCAATGCCCAGGCAGCCTGGACTCAAGGAACAGCCACGAGCAAGAACCAGCCTCAACCGCTTCACCCAGCAATATATTACCCCAAATAGGAAGTTTTGGGGAAATCGATATTGTTTGTGAATTCTGCCTAAAGGAGCAAACATTTGTAGCACTAAGGGTGGAGGGAAATGTCCATTCTGAGGTTTTAACTCTCTTCAATGCCTTCCCAAGCTAACCTAACTGAGCTCAAATGAAACTTCTGGATAAGGAAGGGTGGGAGAACGGTAGAAAAAGAAGACACGATGTTACAGTTCCCCTAAAATGAGATTCAGTGGCTTTCAGCAGGTTTTTTTAGGGAACCCCCGAGCCAGGCAGATGCTGCGGGGAGTTGCTCTTAGACATGGGAGGCAATGGAAAAGCCACAAACACCAGCAAATGGGAGATGGAGGGGCTGGATCCTGGCCCACCCCAGGCATCCCTGTGAGGGCAGAGCCACTAATCGGGAAAGGTGGGGACGGGGAGGAGATACAGCCCCTGGCATCCATCCCGGCAGCTCTGGAGGACCAAGCCCACAACAAGGCAAAGCTGACTCCAGCAACATGTTTTGCCTCACGAGAAGACACACAGAGGTAAAGCCCAGCAGCGGCTGGTGCGGTACAGTACCTGCAACTGGAACAGCCCCGGGTGGTGCAAAAAGGGGAAAAAAAAATAGAAATAAATCAAAAGACAGTGAGAATTAGCTCATTTTTTAAGCCCTGGAAGGAAAAGCGGTTGGATAGCTCTGGATCAGAGAGGGGAGAGTACACCCATCCCCTGGCTGCTATAGGAGATGCAGGGGAGCTGTTTCGGGGGGCTGGGGGTATTGCTGGTCTTTTTGCTCACTGCCAGAGCAGTTTGGGGCTGGAGGAAGAGAGCGAAGGGGTTTATCCCACGTCTGCTGGCCTCGAGGTGGCCTCAGCCAGGACGCACCAAATGTGGTGGAGCGTGGGGTCCCAGCAAGGACCAGCACCGGCCGCCACCAAGGATGGAGCAAGAGCCCCCGTGCCGCTGCCCACCCCTCTCCTCCAGGCATTACAGGCAAGGGAGGGCAGCACAACCCCCTTTCACAGGGTACTTGAAAGCAGAGACAAAGCATCCCCATTGTAACACAGGAAATCACCTAACGGCAATCGTAATTAATAGATAAAGTCATCGATATGAAATGCTCGGTCTAAGCAGCCTGTTGGGAGGAAGCATCGCCTAGAGCAAAGAGCAAGGGATGGGGTCTCGCCAGCCCCTGCCTGGTTTGCTCGGAGGCTCTGGCCATGTCCCATCACTGCAGCCCTTCTATGAACGGGACACAGATACTTCTCTACAAACACACCCACGTCTGCACCTCAGAAGCTCGGGGTAAGAGCCAGAGGCTGCTGCAAGCCCGCAGCTCTGCCTATGACTGCCTCTGCCCGCCTGGCTGCCCCCCGCCGCACTGAGGACACCCACCTTCCAGATGCTGGCCTCCTTCCCGTACACCACTGCCATGCTGCTGACTTTGTTGGACTTGATGAATTGCCTCTCCGTCTTGTTGAGCTCCTCTGACACGAAGCCCATGAAGGAGTTGTCGGGGGTGTGAGCTGTGGACACCAAGGGGAGAAGACGCGTGGCTGGACAGATGTCTCCTGGGACCTCATCAGGGTTGGGGGCACAGCCCCATTTCAGCACAGGGGCTGAGACAATCCTGGCTCCAGATCCCTGCTGGAGCTTTGAGGAAAAATGGCACGAATCCTCATCCAAGCAGCTCATTAAGTAGAGGCTTTGGAACTCGCTTGAGTGACTTTTTAAAAAGTAAGGCATTTTTAAGGCTGCCAAATGGGCTTTATCCAGCCAGGAAAAAGCAACGCTTGAGTCACCCAGCACCCAACGGGTCAGCGGGCTCCTTTCAGACAAGCACATCTCCTTTCCACGCCACAGGCAAGGCTGAACCACTGAACCACCTCTCGCCTATTAAAACTCCAGCTGAAATAAAACCAGGCTTTGCAACCAAAACCGCCTTGCGTTTTCCCTCACAGGAGCTGGAAGCTCCTGGATGTGCCCTGTGTTTGACCCTGGCTGCACAGGAGCCAGCAACTCATCAGAGGAAGGAGCCAGATCTCTCTCCAGCGTGTTTCTATAGCCCAAGAGATGGCCAAGCAGATTCGGGAGCTCCTTGCAGGCAGGGGGGAAGCTGGAGCGGAGCTGGGGAGGACAGCACTGCCCAAGCATCATCTCCTAAAGGAGGCGAGCCCCTGAAACTGCTCCAACTGTGCCCCCATCCCCCACTTACGGAACATGGTCATGAACTGAGTGGGCTGCAGGTTCCAATAGCCCCAGTTGGTGCGGTAGCCACGCAGCGTGGCATATTCCTCATGGTTGTAAGCTGGCTCTGTCCCAAAGGTATCGATGACCCGGACGCGGCACCTGGGAGAGGAGATGGGACCATGGTCACACCTCAGGGACCTCGGTTCGCAGAAGTCCCACTGCCAGGGCCGTCTGGTGTCCCCAGGCAGCTCGTCCCTTGTCTTCTCCCCGAGCAGAGGGTGCAGGAACATCCCAAGCAGCCCTTCCCAACCCACTGCTCCCTCCTGCAACAAGCAATTTCCCCTTGCAGGGCTTTCATCTCCCTGACGTTGGCGAGAATGATGCATCTCCTGAAGACTTGTAAATGCTTTTCCCAATATCCCGGGAATGCTGAGGCAGGCATTACCAGCACAAGACTGAGGAGAGAGGGGGAGCATCAAGCAAGGGAAGAGCAAAACATGCTGAATGTGAGAGCAAATGCATTTATAATAAAAGCAATAACACCACTTGTCATTTTTCTCTCTAATAAAATTGTGTAGGATAGTGGAGGAGATGGGAGAAAACATAATAAATAGCAGGACTATCAGCGCTAAATTAAATTGCATATTTTCCTGGCTGGTGATGTACCAGGGGATGATGACATTTGTCTTGATGGCGAAGGAGCTGGGGATAGGGCTCTGCTTCTTGCAAATACAAGAGGCCTGTGGTGTGGCCACCCCTGCCTGCAGGCTGCAGGGCCCGTGCTTGGAAGCACACACGCACCGCAGGCATACGCAGAGGGCTTTTTTTTTTCCCCAATTCAGTCTCTTCTAACAAGGTTTTATCTTAAACACGCGAGGCTGCGGAGCGAGCAGACCTCCTTGTGCCGCAGCAGCAGGGGACACAGCGCGGCAGCAGCTGGCAGAGCCAGGCAAAAATCAAAGGTGCAATCAAAGGGTCCAACCCCTTGGACGTGGGGGCTGTCCTTCGAGGTCATTAGCATTAGCCTTTGCTTGCTAATTAATGAAATGGAGAGTAAGAGAAGAGAGTGGCTTTGCTTACCTGTATTTCTTAAAGGAGAGCCCCATGTGCTGCTTCATCTGTTGGAGACCATGGTAGTCGGTGTAAATCAGGTCGAAAGGCAGAGGGTTGGTCAAGGGGCAGTTCCCCCGCCCTGGAGGCACCCCTAAATGACTGGGGAGAAGCAGGAGGGACTGATCAGCCCCCCAGCACCATGAAAGCCCTGCAATACAAACACACGTTTCCCTGCCCAGTGTTTAGCAGGGGCCATCAACCAGCTCCCCAGTTGATGGAGGGGGAAGAAGATCATTCTCCGCTCCCCTGCCTTTATTTTTTGGGCCCAAAATCTGAGGTTTTGGGGAGCCCTGGTCCCTCCCCATCTTTGTACCTGCTCCAGCCAAGTTCCTGCTCCTGACACAGGGATGACGAGGCTTTTGCACAGCATTCCCAGCTGGGCTCACCAGCATCTCATTCAACACACACACTCCCCTGAACCTCTCTTGTCGAAGACACCAGATTTCGTTTGCTTTCACTGCCATCACATCCGTGACAGACTTGCAGAGCCACGTCTTTCCCCTCCTCCCAGCCTGCGAGGCTCCCAGTTTAGCCTAAATCCCCCTGCTCCCAGTCCCATATTCCTCCCAGTGCAAACACCACGCGTCCTTTCTCTAACTCCAGTCCTTACAGGAACCCACCACACCCCTGAGCATCCTCAGATTCTCCTCAACGCTGGTGGCACCGCCTGTCCTTGGATGTTGTGCACATTTCATTAGAATTTCTGACTTTTTGTCCCATTTAGGAAATAGTTTGATAAAGCCAGGGCAGCCGGGCCCTGGGTCTCGCTCAGTGGGTTTTCAGCCAGTTCCTTACAACAGCCGTACTCAGCCCCTCTGCCCTCCTCCAGCGGATAAAATGCATCATGAAAATCCAGATAAACTAGATCGACGGCAATCTCTCTATCAAGATCATCAGCTACCTCGCTGCCAAGGTGATATGTGATTAATCTGGCATGATACAAGGCTGGTAAACCTCTGGCATGTCTCCTTCCATTTTCAATTACCTCTGTGAACTGATGAATCCCTCTCTCCAAAGCTGTTCCACTAAGTGTACCACTGATGTCAGCCTGACAGCCCATCTGCTCGTCTGGACCACGTTTCCTCCTCAGAAAAAAAAAAACCTGTGACACCTTCCAGCTTCAGCAGGTTTCTCAAAAATTCTTGTTACATGTACTTGTGATTTCTGAGTGCCAGTTTGCTCAGAAATACAAATGATCCACCCCTCACTTGCAATGTTCCTGTGTTTTCTTGTCCTCCTGAAGACTGTAATTCCTCATCCTCACACCTATAAGCCCACTCACACCCAAACAGTAACAGCAATGTCCTCATGGAAAACTGAAATGTTGAGCCGATTTGGTCCCGTTGGGCTCTGCCCCACTCCCACCAGGCAGCCACCCCATTTCGTTCTCAGCCTTCTAACAGGGCTGAGGAATTTATGTTTTATTTTGCAAGTCTGAGCTCAGACACTGCGAAATCTCACCCTTAGCTCCCGCCTGCCAAGATGTCTGTCTTTGTTTTCTTCTGGGCTCTTCACTTACTCCTAGCACCTATTTGGAGATGCAAATTTATCTCAGCCATCCCCATAAGTATTTTCCCTTTTCTTAGGAATAAAAGGTCCACCAGGTTTTAAATTCCCAGGCTTTGAAGCCTTCACCCTGTAACCTCTCTTACTGGTTCTCCTAATTTCTCTGCATTTCCCCTTCTGAACTGGAGAATCCTCTTTCCAGCCCTACCTGGATTTTCTCAGTCACTCAGCTGAAGCCTGAACGGACCCACAGTCCAAGGACCTATCCTCCAAGGAGCACTTCCATCAGGTCCTCATCCCTCACCCAGACCGATGACTACGCACAGCATTTCATCTATCAATCCCATGGCTGTTTGTGGAGGAAACCGATGCCTCTCCCACCCGGGGAACAGCCAAGTTGTACAGTTATCACAAGCGTTTGCTCTCCAATCTCTCACTGGTCTTCACCAACAACACCAGAAGGGTCATATTCAGCCAGTGAAATTGGTTGGCCATTATAGCTACGATAAAGTGCTCTTGGTCTGCTCCTGGCCATACCTCCCTCTTCTACTGATATGGCTTGCAAGCCCTTGAGAGTTGGGCACCAAGATCCTTCTTCCAGCCCCCTCCTGACCTGAGACTGGTGAAGGCTCATCCCAAACTCCTGACCACAACTGTGACTCCAGAGAGCAAGTCAATGTGCAACCACACCACTCGCCAAAGCCAGGAAAACCCCAGAGTTTCAATTTAAGGTGAAGAGCTGCGTTTGCAGCCGCTTCATTCTCTTGTCACAAGGAATGTAAGCGTCAGCTCAGGGCAGCCCAGCCAGGTCAGACGCGGGGGAAGCAGGCGGCAGTTTTACCACTTTTATGCACAATTTTACACGACACGGCTCATTGGGAAGATGGCAGGAACAGAAAGGCTCTCACCTCCAACAGCAACCTCAGTACGATAAATAGGGCAACAAGAAGACCCAGCCCTCCCAGGGAGGCTGAAGCAGAAGGGGAATTTTTAAGCCAGTAAAAAACCCCAGGATTTTATGGAGATGCAATGCTAAATATCACATTTGCTAGCGCATGTACTGTTCTTTTCCTCAGCCGTCAGGAACGTGTATGCAACAGCTACGATCGCTTTGCT